TATGCATTTAGGGTACAAATATGCAGGTACCAGGGTGAGAGTTGTGCAAGGGAACTATTTAGCTCTTGGCAAAAATTATGTAATTGACAGCAGTAAAAAAAAAAAGCTGGTTTGTTTCACATGTGTATTTAAGTGAAATTTCTTCTCGTAATGGTGTAATTTTTAGTGTAGCAACCCATATAGGTGAAAATGATATCGTTTGTAATTTCCTTTGTAATAGTTGAATAGAATTGATAGTCATAGAAATGAAATGGATTTTTGAAGAAACAACCTAAAGTAGGGATCTCTCAAGTTGAAAGTTGCATTGTATTTCAAAGATGAGCAGTAAATGCCTGGCTTAACCTTGGTCATATGATATGGAGAGACTTTGGTCATATTAATAGTTGTATGTTTGCCTGGCACTTCCTGGGGTTTCTGGGTGGGGCTCAGCCTAACATGTACCCAGCACTTGCCTTCCACGTGCATTTTATTCACTTAGCCTTGCCACACATTCAGAACAATCAAGTTTATAATTTATAAAGTAGTGCAAGTGAGATGGGAGGTTTTGAAGTGGCAATTATAAATATACATGGCTTATTGAACTACTAAATGAGCATTATTTTGAATTTTTAAAACTTGTTTGTCAATTTACAAACTATTGACTGCCAAAACATGGCCTTGCTTTATATAAAGTTTAGGCCTTACTTTGAAATGTCTCTGCATTTTGAAGTTGGTCATTATAAGCAAGATGTAACAATTTGATGTTTGAAGCATCCTAAGTATTAGCATATACAGTAGTTGTAAGTAGCACTCTTATAATTAATGTACTTAAGTCTATGCTCATGATAAGAATGTAGATGAATGATACTGTTTATTTTTCAGCATTTGACCAAGCATAGTAATAATGGCTGACCCGGAGAAGGCAGTAGCAACATCGGCCACCGAGGAGGAGATGTCCGAGGAAGAGATGGAGGAGGAGGAGGGAGGAGAGCGTAAGGAGTTGGTAGACAAGCTCATGAAGGACCCTCAGGTGCTGGCTGCCCTCCAGACCAAACTTCGTCGTTTCCTTGGAACCCATTCTGGTTACATCAGTGTGAGTTGACATGCTTTGCTTATTGATAGCTATGGTACACAAGAGTTAGATCTGAAGAGGCTGGCTCGGGAGAGAATTCTAGCTTTTGCCTTTATTTCATGTATGTACTGTTGCTATTAATGAGCTAAGATTTGACACCACACTGAGCTATTAACAAAACTAATCTTGGAGATGTGTGCTCGTTTTGTTGATTCTAACTTGTTTGAAAATTAGCCCCCACAAATATTTTCATAATAGGACTACAGAGAAATTGTAAGTAATATAGTGATGATGGTTAATGTTCCTGAGGGCAATGCAGAGAGGAAAATGGACACTGCCATCTTGTAGAGCATAGTTGTATACAAGAGGTACATCAGCAGCATCCTCATGTTTCTCTTAAAATACTGAAAATGTCCTGTACATCACTGCTTGGAGAGTCCATAACACTAAAAGCCAGTTCTTAGTATTGTGTTTTCTATAAGATGGCATGAAGTGCTAATAAAGTAACATTAATAACATTTCTTGTACCAACTACTGCAATGTTGTGTGCTCAAGAATGATTGATTGATCCTAACTTTGTGCATCCATACAGTTAAGATTAAACCACAGAAAAATAGAAGTTAGGAAAGGTTAGGTGTGGGTTTTTGGGTTAACATATCCTGGTTTTGGGACTTCATCTTTGGAAGGTGCATAGCTCTCATTAACAGATAACCATAGTAGGTGATACATTGGTATTTGTCGTTGAGTGATGCACCCTCAAGAGATAGTCCAAACCAGGGTATCATGCAAACCCAAAAACCCAAATTTAACCTTTTCTACCTTTTATTTCCAGGACAGGGAGGGCAAGCCCCCTCCCCCTATTATTAGCACTCCATGCCAATTTTCAGAAGATGCAACAATAAGAACTCTGGCTGTTTGAGGGTGTTGTAGACTTGTCTCTAGCATATCACAGCTCAAACTATTTTTTGTAATTTTCCTGTAAAAATGAGGCAGCAGCAGATGTACCTGTTGCTTATGACAATTTCTTGTGCTTTATAAGATCATGTCATTTTCCCTCTGTTGCTCTTGATAATTAACCAATAAGCACACTGCCTGGCAATGAAATAATTGGTGAAAGGTTTACTTGTTCATCTCCCAGTCAAGATGCCACAACTTCAATCCGAAAAGCAGCCAAACTTCAAAATTATCAGGGAAGTCAGACCTCCCTGGTATTATAACCCATCGATGACAAATCCATGTGCTGCCTATTGTCGATGTGTCTTTATCTTGTAAGTTTACTTCTCAAACCCTTGGTCATCAAGGAGTCAACAACTAGGCCTATCTTATATTCCTTGAATATACACATTTGTTACTGTTTTTATTTGTGGTATTTGTTACCAAGAGCAATGCAGTTCCAAAACCAGGGTATTCTGCAAACAAAAGCCTTATCATAACCTTTCCTACCTTTTATTCCAGAAATGGGGGCCAAGCCCCCCTGCACCCCTCTTTATTAGCACTTCATGCCAGCTTATAGAAAACTGACACAAAGAACTGGCTGTGTGAGGATGCAAATATTTTCTTGATATTGTGGTAAATATTAGGCTCCTACCATTTTGCCTAAGTTTGACTATTTATGCTAGTAGAAGATGGTGTTCATGACCTGTGTATTGCACTCGGTAACACATCCTTTTTAACATGGCTCCTATGGCTAATGTTATCGAGAGCGACACAAATGGGAATGAACACTGCCATCTTAAAGCATAAAAAAGACCTGAACATGGGTACAGCTGCTGGAGCCTCGTTTTTACAACAATTATGAAAATATTTACTTCATATCACCAATTAGTCTATACTATCACAACCAGTTTTTAATGTTCCAAGTTGGTATAAAGTGCTAATAATGTGGGGAGGGGGTTGTTTGGATTAGGGGGTTTACATGATACTCTGGTTATGGGACTTTGTCTCTGGAGGGTGCATCACTTGGTAACAAATGCCTCTATTTCTACATGAGGATTTTACCATTTTCCAAGGTCTATACTTATCATTTGATTTGCTGTATTAAGATGGTAATTGTTTGGTTAGTGTTACTGGGAGCAATGCATAGATGGAATAATTGGCACTGCCATCTTGTAGAGCATAGTCATAATCAACACTGGTACTGAAGGTATGTCAAATATTTTTATAAACAATATAGTGGCAGTTGACAGTGCTAACAGAAGGGGGGAGGGGAGTGCATGTCCATGTCTAAAGGATTGAATAGAAGGTAGGGAAAGTTACATTTAAATTTTTTGGTTTACATGATACCCCACTGTTTATGTATATGCGAATAAACTGTTTATTAGAATTTCATTGTTCGAAACTTGGCTCATCTTTTCAGAAGACCCACTGTAAATTAGTTCAAATGGATAAAAATAATGCAAGAGCCCATTCTTAAGTGCTTACATTTTCCATAATGGCATGTTTACTTTACCTGGCCCACAGCCAAATTGTCATGTAATGGTCACATCATTGGGATCCAAGAACTTCAATTTTTTTTACTGCAACCAACATTTTCTTTACTCATTGTTTAGAGGTTAAAGTACATACCAGCTAGGGAAATAGGGCAGTTGGTAGGGGTTCTAGGGCAAAGCCTCTTGGGTTAGGAAGGTTTTTGGTTCATAAGCATTTTTGTGGTGGTATGCATGCTTAGGATGGGATTGATTTATGTTGGGACTTTCGACAGTTGGTCCTTGAATTTTTTACCTCTTAAGGATGTTCTGAGAGTAGGGGAAGCAGACAGCATGGATGGGAGGATGTCAATGAAAGGTGGATGAATTTACCACTTGAATCTGACCTAGCGTGGTGGGAATGTTTGAAGTGTAACATAATGTTTTGTGCGGTTTGTGGATTAAGTACACTATCCCAGCTAAACAGGGCTTTCTATATTTTTTGGTACATCAATCCATGCACAGTTGACCTGGGCTGAGCTGTCCAGGTACAAGTACATGAAGTAACTTTTAAAGGGGCCGTCGCGCTAAAGAACGAAGGTCATTTATAATCGGATTTTCGTGATTTTTCAATGTTATATATACATATACGATGAACACCAAGTTTCATATCATTTGAATAATAAGTAGTTATTTGAGTTTTTGAAAAATCACAATTTTATATTTTGCACTTATCCATAAACCAAACCTGTTGAAAAAAAATACCATACTCGATAGCAATACCTAAAACCTTTAATAGATTGATTTTTATTTTCCTTTTAGTTTAGTGGGAATGTTTTTTTCTAGATGTTCAGTCTTATGAACTTAAACTTTAGTATATAGACTTCTATTACGTGAATGAAAATATTCACAATCCAGAAAATCCGCAAATTTATTCAGCTTTCAAATGACCCAAATCCCAATAGAAACGTCCAAGTAGTTATGGAGAAATAGCACAAAGGTGTAGTTTTGAGATTGGGCTCCCAAGTTCAGGATACTATTCCTTTTCCTTTTTTTATTTTATTTTATTTTATTTTATTTATTTTTTTATTTTTATTTATTTTTTTTTCTCCCTTATGAGTCGATCTTGATGCATTCTGTTATTCTGAAGTGTAGCTGGTACCTGATCCCCCCTTTTTGCAAAGTACTAATGGCAAGAACTGCACATGCATGTCGTCAAAGGCTTTGCAGTGCCTAACCTGACCACGTGAGGCATTTCATATGTATAAACATCTGCTGCAGCTGTGATTGAGAATTATTTCTTATATGTTAAATACAAAAATAACATTTACCACTAGTTGTGCCCTCTTAGTGTGTGAAGAGGGTGTACGTCTGTAAGATGGTGTGGAGGTAACATTTTGTCTCCGAGTCCCATTCTTGGCAATCAGCTGATGGGTAAACAGAGTTGAGAGCTAGCTACCAGAGAATACCAAAATAAGTAAAATAAAATGGAAAAAGATTGTAGAGTATATTTGCACGGATGCGACATTAAATATTGGAGCAGGAAGCAGGGGGTGGTCAGATATTTAGTCATAACTCCTTTATTCTTGTGTATTTAGCAGAAATATTATGTCAGTGGATTGCCAAAACCTACTAGATTACACAAGATTTTTTTTTTTTTTTTTTTTTTTTTTTTTTTAAAAATGTGATGGCCTCCTTAAAACCTATATTGATATATACAGTAAACTTCTTTGTATACTTGTTTCCAGTCATGTATATTTACATAAACCAGTAAGCATGTTTGTAGTTGTCATTTGTAAAATTTAAGCTACATGATCAGTTAGGATGATAAAAAAAAAAATCAGTTAAGATTGAAAATGCATGCATTTACAATGTTTGTTCTGATGTCTTTTTTATTATTAACCATAATTATGAAAGAAGTGGGCTTATATTGGAAATTTTGAGTATATTTAAAAGGTAATCATATTGACTTTATTTTTTTAGTCTCTCCCAGTTGCTGTAAAGAAACGCATTAAGGCATTGAAGAAGCTACAGCTCCAGTACACAGACCTAGAAGCTGACTTCTACAAAGAAGTCCATGCGCTAGAGGTATGTGAAACGTTTTCTTTTCTATATTACTTTAAATGGTTCCTTAATTTTCTATAATGTTGAGTAGCCTGTTTGCTAGTATAGACTTTATAGTTGCTAATAATCAAATGCTTGTGTTTTAGGTTAAATATGACAAACTTCACCAAGCTCTATATGAAAAACGTAAACTTGTAGTCAATGCCGAATACGAACCAAATGAAGAAGAATGTGACTTCCCCTCGGATGACGAAGAGGATGAGAAGGATTTGTGTAAAGACATGGAAGACAAGGCTAAGATTGATGGAAAAGGCAATGCTGATGAAAAGGATGACACAAAGTAAGTACAGTTCATTTTGTAGTTATATCATGGTATGAATTATTGTACCTGTTTGAGAAGTTACTTGATATTCTTGATAACTTGTGTTATTCCCCAGGTTGCACGACTTCGATGAAAACACAAAGGGCATTCCTGAGTTCTGGCTGACGATCTTCAAAAATGTTGACCTTCTCTCAGAAATGGTCCAGGATTATGATGAACCCATTTTGAAGCATTTAAATGATATCCAGCTTAAGTTCCACGATCAACCCATGGGCTTCACTTTAGAATTCTACTTCTCAGAAAATGAATTCTTCACAAACAAAGTTCTAACAAAGTACTATGAAATGAAGTGTGCGCCAGACAAGGAAGACCCCTTCAGCTTTGAAGGACCTGAAATCTTTAAGTGCAAGGTAAGAGAGAGATTGTGGCTAAAGAAATTCCTGATTCAGTATATACATTTTCAAAAACTTGGAAATTTTATAGAAAATGTAATGCCAAATACTAAAATCATTACAGGGTTGTACCATAGACTGGAAGAAGGGCAAGAACGTTACAGTAAAAACCATCAAGAAGAAGCAGAAGCACAAGTCACGAGGAGCTGTTAGGACAATAACTAAGACTGTACAGAATGACTCATTTTTCAACTTCTTCAATCCACCACCAGGTTTGTTGAATTATTTAATCTGATGTATGTAGCTGTCACTTAATTTACAGCTAAGTTAAAAGCTTTTATCAATAGGTAAATATAAATCTTTACAAAGGTTGTATAAAGTATTGTTTACATTTATTTTATTTTTTCCGTAAGTTTACAATGTGGTTTTGGATAAACAAATAGAAATGTATTTTAATGTTCAGTGAATCTTGTTAAGTTCATAAGTCTCTAATATAGTTGACTTTTTGAAATATTTAATATATGAATATGCATTCTCAAATTATCTACAGTTCCTGAGGATACTGATGAAGAGATGGATGAGGACACCCAGGCTCTCTTGACAGCAGACTTTGAGATTGGTCATTACATCAGGGAGCGTATTGTTCCACGAGCTGTGCTCTTCTTCACTGGAGAAGCCCTTGATGATGAAGACTTTGAAGAGGAAGAGGGCGAGGAAGGTGGGTTGTTGATGAAACAAGTGTAGACTTGCATTTTGCTGCAAGTAATTACTGCAGTAGTCCTGCTAGTGAGGATGTCAAATAGCTAAATTAACATTTCTGATCAAGAGGCTTTTTAGGAAATAATGCTTTGATTTGATAGTTGATCAATTTATCTAATTTGTTACATTCACTGATGTACTATTGAAGTTTGTTATAAGATAACCGCAAATATGATATTGAACTGATGATTGGATCTTCACATGGTCAGTAAAACTGAGGTCTCCAAATTATTAGTTTTCTAGGGATTGGTAAATTAGAACCATCTAGCTTAGCTGTCTAGAACCTAAAATCTTGTACATGAAGGAAGTAGGATTGCATCCTCTCCTTGAATTTAGGTTTTTATATAAGCTTCTGCAGAGGAACACTGGAATAATTCAGCTTTGTTAAATGTGCCAGCCTTAAGGTTTTTACATGCATTCTAAAACCATACCCAGATGGGTGGATGAAATCAGCAGTCTTGCTGTGGGAGTGACAACAAAAGGCAAGATACTGGCTAAATATTGTGGAATCTGTAGTCTAGTTGGTAGTTTGGTTGGCTGTCACTTCTTGGTAATATCATACCCTCTGCTGATCGGATCATGGCTTTAAATTTAATACCAGGGAATGAACTGTCCCATTTGTTAGCAGGGTTTTAAACCAAAGTACTTCTTTATGAAAAAGATGCCATTTATTATTTTAATCAAATGTGGATGTTAGATTTGATAGTCTTAAAGATTATACTCCTGAATTTAGTTGTGCTTACAATACATTATGCTGAGCTGGACAATGGCAGATTTTGTACTGCTAAATCAGGTGAGCTATCAAGGAAATGGTCATAGACTAGTGTTCCGAAAGATGTTGTATATTAGCATTGTAGATAATTATGTAGTTCATTTCATAATCTCGGATATGACAATAATACACTCCATAAAAGCTTCTCTGGGATGGGTAAGTGAATGTAGAAATTCCTGAGGGATAATTTGCTTTTTATTTAGCCGGATGTGGTGCATTTTTATCCATAGTTTCCTGGTAAGTTGTATGAAAAAGCTTTTTTAATGAATGATATTGACTGCTGTGTATCATTTGAAGGTTTGTTGTTCCTGTTATGGAATTTTTTTTAGAATACACATCCTCCAAAAAAAATTGTTGCTAAATGACAGATTGTTGTATTTCACAGGGTCAATAATCAGTTCAGTGTAGCACCATAGCATCACCCAGAAGTTCAGGTATACTAACAGGAGACTAACTTATTTTTGCGCGTTTCTGCGAGTTTTAGATAACATTTGTCTTAGTTGTTGGTTATATGCATGTGTGCAATTTGAAATCCTAAGAGCTTGAAAATTTAAAGAGATTTTAGTAATAGATGCTTTGCCGTAAATGTAGTGTGTGAACAAGGATGCATGGGTATGGTCTCCCAAATTCACTGGCCCAGTCATAGTGAAACTAAATTAGCTTAAAGAAAAGATTGCTAGTTAGAGGTCTTGTTCCATAGGGTATAACTAAGCAAGTCTTCAAAACTGGAGTATATACTTGGAATGAACTACAATTATTTGCTGGTATTTCACCAATCACCTGGAGTGAAAGACCTCTGCAGGCAGTGAGGAATAAAATCGTGAGCCATAACAATAGATGCTTTGAAGCTGCACACTGCATTCTAAACACTTGATATTCCTGCTATCATTGCTCTTGGTAAACATCACTGAAAGTTCAAATCCAACATAATTGAGATGTACTTAGTGCTTTATAATCGTTTTGTCCATTGCTTTTGAACAACAAACCTTTATATAAAGAAATCTGATATACAGTATCTTGCCCCTTTTGGTAGCACTGGGGGCTATTACTTTGAAGGCTATTTTTAAAAATTTGTTGGTTCATATTTTCATATTGTTTATTTCAGGTGAAGAAGGTGAAGAGGATGAGGAGGAAGATGACCCAGATTATGATCCATCTAAAGACAAGTCTGCTAAGGATCAGCAAGCTGAATGTAAACAGCAGTGACCTCCCTCTACAAAATAGGTCTCTCTTCAGTGACGTGTAAAGGCAGCATCTGGGGTCTTGCCAGTTAGATTTCTGTGATGTGGGGAAAACTTTATTTTCTGGATTTCAAGATTACAAGTAGTTTTTCTTTACAATTGTGCATACAATCGTAGGTGTGCCAGATTGTTAACCAGAGTGCTATATCTGTTCTGTTCATGGCAGGCCAGAACTTAAGGAAATCTATGTATTTTCGAAATTGTTTAGCTGTTCATAGTTTTCTTGTTCAACAGTGGTGTTGCCCTACATAATGTAGTGCATAAACTGTCAAGATTGTCTACTACAGTGGCCCTACCCCAGATTTCTTTGTAGCACCCAGTGTATGATACTAGCAAAATGTAACTTGAGCAGTCATGACAATGGTTGTCATCTTCAGAGGTGGTTTGGTTAATTTGTTAAGAGATTTATTGTAAGCTTGAAAGTATGTACAATATAGTAACTGTAAATGACAACCGTTGCTTTATGGAGGCTCGGTACTCTTGACTAGATTAACATACTCTGGACAAACCTGCCTAAATACCTGTCAGTTCATTATAGAACCAGCATGCTAGGTTCTATAAGGTTCATCCATAAGGGTACTAAGTTCTCTTCATTGTGATATAATGCATATAAAAATTGTGCACTTTCTTTCTGCAGTCTATGTTGGTTATTAGAGAACCCCTTTTTGTACCAATGTCATTGCATTATACCAAGCTTGAGATCTGATGCATGGCTGTTGACTACACATCTCTAGCATTTCTCAAAAAGATTTCTAAATGTGGAACACAACAGCCATGAAGTCGAGGAGGATGTCGATGCTGTTGGGTGATGATGGAGCTGTTGCATTTTATCTCTAGGAGAATAACAAATTGTTGAAAAGGAAACGAATCTTTCATTGCCTGTTACAAAATTGCCCATATAGGGAAGAGATGGATACTTATTGTACCCAGTCTGCTTGGTAAATAATTGTAATAGCTTTGTTACCACAGCTGCTAATATATATGCTCTTTTTCATTTCTTTTTTTCTACCCCTGAAGTATTTTGCCGTAAGTCTGAAATTATATTTACCTACAGTATATGCATTTAAGAATTTTGATATTGCCCATAATGGATGTGGAAATAGAACTTCGGTAGGTATTGCTAGCTTTAACTATAACTGATGAAGTTGACTCTGGAATTTATACTTTGAATGCCTGATAGTTTTTATTTTTGAATGTGCATAGTTATATTGAAGTATTTCTGTTGGTGCATATCCCACAAATCAAAAGTTATTTTTGGTAGGTATTGATGGACCTTGTTTTTAAATGAGGAAATAGCTCTGAAAGTAATAACACACGAGCTTACTATATTAAGACAGTTTAATGCAATTTGATTTAAAATATTTCGGAAGACAAATGATTGCAGTACAGCAACACAGAAAATCGTTAGTATCGAAACATTCAATAACGAACAGAACTTTGTTACGGAAGGGTTAATGTTTAGTGTTTCGAATGTCTAGTACATATTCATGCATGTCATGGAATAGCTATTTTATTTCTATAAAGGATGGAAACTGCCTTGCAATATATAGTTGAGCCCCACACCCAAAGAGTTGAAAATCAGAGATCAAGTTTCGTAGCGATAACTATTTCACAAAGTATCGTTGTTTTGACAGTTTAGCCTGACTTCATAACGATATTTTGTGTAGCTGTACATGAATTCACGCACTCGTTGATCTTTCAATACTTAATTGCTAACCTAATTTGATAAAATGAAGCTGCTATACATTGCTTAACAACATTAGCGGGTATTCTGAATTGACAAGTCAATTGTTTGGAAACAAAATGAAATAAATTTTACATATGGAGTGCCTTTATGGGTAGGTCTGGATTAATATCTTGAAAGTCATGCTAGAAGTTTTGGGTGTCGATAGTGCAAGAAATTATTTGGTCCATATTTTCATTCCCGTTTAAAAGTAGTGGAGTAAGTGGTAAGTCAAACCAATGTTTAAAACTTAAGTCCAACACGTCAATGAGATGTCCATGATGCTATTTTAAAAATTAATAAAAGACCAGATACGGTTATGACTTTTTATTCTTAAACTTTTGTAGACTTTAACACGTAGTACATAAATGGTTAAGAAATTGAAAATGAAAATCTCTGGAGTTGTCAGTAGTATTGTAGCAGCCATAAAAATTATCAAATCATGTAACTATTTCGATAATACTGTAGCAGTCATAATAATGATCATAAATCACGTAATTGTATTTCGATGGAGTACATAATTTATAATTTATATTGAACAAGAATGAATCCATAGAAGTATACTAGGGGAAAACCAATCACCATATGAAAAAGTGCTTGACAGTATGAATTATGATCAAATGATAACCTTTTCCACATAACACAAGGAAACATACGTTAACTGTAAAGACAAGGAAGGACAAATTGTAAAGATTTGATATGTAAAAAATATTTTACAGCCGATAATAACTTGTAATCTTTAATGATTAGTGTCCTAAGACGTTTGAAGTCTAGCACATATATTTGTATTAACCATTTTTACTTAATGTTACTAAAGGAAGGGTAAAGCTTATTTTTTTCTTATTCAGTCATCTTTTTCAATTCTGTAAAGAAAATAAAGCTCATTTATTCCAACATACTTTTTAGTTTCTTTACGGGGTATTTTTACTAAAGCAAATTTGTGGTGATAACATATGGTAGTTATTTGATTACACTGATAGACCTATAAGTAATATTTTAAAAGCTTGTGCACACTGTTCTAAAATGGGGGCTAGGGGTTAAGACACCGAAGTTATTGGGTGTGAAGAAGCAGGTAGCTCATCCATTGGGTATCTGAAGGGTCATTTTCAAATATTCTGAGGTAGTGAAACAATGTTGATTAATCCTGTAAACAGGAGATCCGGACTCACGAATGCACTTATACGAACATTATACAGGAATGTACGTACAAACTATTACAGCTGACATTTTATTTCCATTTTCAGTACAGTAAACATGTATACATTCGCGGGAGGAAAGAAAAGTCTCTGCTCTCTTCTCTCTCATCTCTCCTTCTCTCTCTCTCTCTCTCTCTCTCTCTCTCTCTCTCTCTCTCTCTCTCTTCTCTCTCTCTCTCTCTCTCTCTCCTCTCTCCTCTCCCTCTCTCCTCTCTCTCTCCTCTCTCCTCTCCCTCTCCCTCTCCTCTCCCTCTCTCTCTCTCCTCTCCTCTCTCTCCCTCTCCTCTCCCTCTCTCTCCCTCTCCCTCTCTCGTCTCTCTCTCCTCTCCTCTCTCCCTCTCTCTCTCTCTCCTCTCTCTCCCATCTCTCTCTCTCCTCTCTCTCTCTCTCTCTCTCTCTCTCTCTCTCTCTCTCTCTCTCTCTCTCTCTCTCTCTCTCTCTCTCTCTCTCTCTCTTCTCTCTCTCTCTCTCTCTCTCTTCTCTCTCTCTCTCTCTCTCCCTCTCTCTCTCGCTCTCGTCTTCTCTTCTCTCTCTTCTTCTCTCTCTCTCTCTCTCTCTCTCTCTCTCTCTCCCTCTCTCGTCCTCTCTCCTCCCTCCCTCCTTCCCTCTCCCTCTCTCTCCTCCCCCTCCCTCCCTCTCTCTCTCTCTCTCTCTCTTTCTTTCGTCATCTCTCCTCCCTCTCTCTCCCTCTCCTCTCCCTCTCCTCTCGCATCTCTCCGTCCATCTCTCTCTCTCCTCTCTCTCCTCTCCTCTCTCTCTCCTCCCCTCTCCCACTGTCTCTCCTCTCTCTCTCCTCTCCTCCCCCCAATCTTCTCCCCCCCTCTCTCTGCTCTCTCTCTCTCATCTCTCTCTCCTCCTCTCTCTCCATCTCTCTCTCTCTCTCTCTCTGGCGCGCATCCCCCTATGAATACTATTTAAGCAAAGCTGCCTAATTTTGGAGGTAATTTTGGGTAGCTGACTATGGACACTGATACTAGTTGCACTAAGCTTGGATGAGTTAAGAAACTAAGAAATCTAGGAATTACGATTCTTGATAAATACACGTCATATGCGTATTCTTACATCAATCGTGCGTTACAAATAATGTACTGGTACGCGATGTACCAGTTTTACATCCTGAGTGAGTTTAATATCTCTCATTAATGGCTAAGAAAATTTGCCACTTGTTTTATGTACAAATAAAATTCCAATAAATATGTTTACTGGGAAGAAAATATTCACTGGGAAATATTCGTCATGAAATATGAATGATAATAACGAGTTTATATGATGACAGAAAAGTGGCTTGGTGTCACTTTCAAATTAGTTTTGTGTAATTCTTTGTCATAACTTCATCTGTCGACAGAATTAGATATACATATGGAAGCCTCATGCTTTGGATATATATCTTGAACGTGATTGTTATATCACGGGCGATTCTTGTGATTGTAAGCATCATTGACGCTCTTACACAAAACTGATAATGGAAAATCTGTTAATATCCCAAATGTAGTATTAATCATATGTGAGAAAAGGTTGAAAAATGTAGCGATATGACAGACTACTCAATCAGAACGTTGCTCCCAGGCCAGAGGATAAAGAGCTCATTAAAAAGCACTGTGGAAAGGAATATTTTATTGCATCGGATCTGCTGGGTGTGGTAAGGCGACCCTTTTTTTGAGGCGTGGCGGTGTCTACAAAGGAATTATTATACATCAAAGCAAAACGTGAGACAAACCACACCGGAAAAATAGAGGACATTAACCACTTGTAACAAGTCACAGAATAAGTAGCAGTCGAAAAGCGCCACAACCTCTAAAACTCGCATTTACGAGAGGAGGACGGTGCGGCATAGCGTGTAGTTGCCTGGGCCGCCCACAGATGCCGGGCGCGCCGTTGGCTGGGTTGCGCGCGCGGCCCGAGTGTCGTCTGCTGGTCTGGCCAGTTGATTGTAAACACAGGCAATGGCAGGTGGTGTTACTCGTAGACTCTCTCGCGGGATGTCACTTCAAAAGCGGACAAAGGATTAATATCGCCGGATCGTCTCAAGATGTCAATCAGGGTAGGTGTTTGTTTGTGGTTGTTGGAACTGGGTGCGGGAAGGTTGTTTGTATAGGCTTGTGTTCTGTTGTTTGCTGTCCAATGACTGCAATGGTGCGCCTAGTTGCAAAGCTTCTGGAATTAATTGACAATGGTCAAGGGAATTGAGTCGCATTGTTTAATAAACGGTACAAAATGCAACGTATATTCCATCCCGAATCTTCGAAAGTGAAATAACTAACATAAGCCACACCTGCCACTCCCACACGACACACGAAGCGACGTATATAATTGATCATCGCGACTTGCAACCTCGCGGCGGCACTGACCTGCTTCATGTGTGTGCTCCGTTGGTCGAAATTCGAAGTGTGGTTCGTAATTCATTCATGAATGAGTTGTTGTCATGCCTGCAGGTGACACACAAGACACCTGACGCCGTGTCAATCGCTGTTATTTGAAAATATATATTGCTTATCCATTGATAAGGTACTAAGGTACTTTGTGTAGCATTTAACAGATGGAGTTTGCAATGTGTTTAGAGACTAGACTGCGTAGACATAGACCTTATTATATTATTTATTTATTATTAATTATTATTTTTTTTTTTACAAAAGTTACGTTTTAATTCACCGATTCACGAACATAATGTATATTTTTCCGTTAACGCGTCGATATTAATTCAACACTTACACTTTAACACAAGCTTTTTTGTCATTACTTGTATAGTGGTTAGAACATGTGTAATGAGAGTCGGCGTGAATCTTGGACTGTGTCGGTCTGTTTCATCTTTTTAAGCATAGTGTTCTGAAGGATGCGCATAGTCCTATAAGGATGTTCACTACTCAAGCTAGCCATGCTAAGAATCTTTTGCTTGTTATGATTTCCGCATATTTAAACATTCATTTACCAAAAATTGTTAACGCCGAGTTATATATATATATATATATATATATATATATATATATATATATATATATATATATATATATATATATATATATATATATATATATATATATATTATATATAATATATATTATATATATATATATATAT